TTAAAATAGTGTGATGCATTTTGCTCTAAAAGCGTCATTGGTATTAAAGATATCTTTAAAACGTTTAAAAATATTCTTTTATTTGAATTATCACGTTTTCTGTGGACCGAAGTAAGAAGTCAAGAAACATTTTGCCAACTAGCAATTAGTTTTGCTGCACCACAAAATATATTACTGTAGTACAACACGCCTTTCTTGAATAGTTCGAATAAGTCAAGAGTGCTGTTTTAATCCTTGGCAAATTTGCTGTAATTTTCATGTTCGTGTAAGATTTAAAACAAAGATATATAAATTATGAAGTATCTGCGTGTTTTTGAGAGACAATTGATAAATGTCATGTTGCACATAACATCGAGAAGGACCGGGTTGTGCTCGCACATGTCGTGTTTATATAAAACCTTAGAAAAATCTAGAAATGAGTCAAAACAAGATAGTACTTAAAATATGCTAATGAGAAGTTAAAGTTCAGCTTAAGATCAAAGCTTGCCATGACAAATTCAAGACAAGTATGTGCTGCAACGTCAGCCAGTAACAGGTGTATCTTAAAATCCTTATCTACATTAAAACATAAAGACAAAAAGGTGTTATCTACGTCTGCCATTAAATAAACAATAACATTTTAACATTCGACTACTCGTGAACAAACTGTCTGAACAAATTTGTAAAGGATGAACCTACAACTGACCCAATCATATTGGAATTTATTTTCATGATATTCATTAGAATGGAATAATTATCTTTTCTTACTGTTAAAAGGGTCTCTGTCTTTTCTTTTCAAAATCTTTGGACCTGATACATGTAATGCATGATGCTATCCATTTATCTTTACAATTTCATGTAATTGTACCTGTATCTTCTACAGTTAATGTAACTCAATCTAATTCATTGACAAACCTAGGGTTATCCCCGCTTTAAGTGGCAGCTACTCAACCGACTCGAGCATCTTGGTACACGTCTATTGTTGAAACATTGGTAAATAAACATGTCATATCACAATCTATCATTAAAAATCATCTGATCACTCAATTTGTGAACAAAGTGGAAGGGAATATAATTCTGTCCGTGAAGGAAATCACGGAGAAACTGAGATTTTTATTTCAAGGGATGTATACATGGGCGTCAAAGAAGACATTACGGTTTCGGTACCAGGGAGGGGATTATGGCGGTAAAATGTGACCTTTAAAGAGAAATTGAGACAATATGAAATCCAAACCCAGGTTGTAATGACCAATTTATTGTCAAAATTCAAGGAACGAATGAAACTCCACTTTACTTTTGTGACTGTTGACCAATTAAGCACCTGTCAGCCATGTTGATAAGCGGTGGTCAACACTGAAAATTGCAGTGATATTTCTTAATTCAAAATTGACTGAAGGGGAGTTCATAAATAACGCCAAAAGTGAATTTTGGCCATTCAGCGGGGGTATTTTTTTGGAACCTGATACACAAAGTAACACGAACAAAAACTTGTCTTTCCTAATTATTTGGACATAAAAGTCCAAATATAATGGGAACATTATAATTCTTCTAAATTATAGAATGCCATGTTGGATTTTTTTAAGGTAAAAGGAAGCACTTAGACCTTTAAATATCCGAGTGTTTGTAAAGTAAGAGTTATTTATGAGACAACGCCAACCATATATATATTATATATTTTCTATTTTTCTGTTTTTATTATGCAGTTATGAAAGCCGTAGACATTAATGTACATAATATTAAATGTCCTGATATATTTCATTCTATTAAATTCAACAAATAAAATATTATTCTGAGTTATTATCGACTAATTTTCATTTTTAGGCGACAACATTAAATGACAACACAAAACTCGTCTAAATTTTGTTTATAATAAATTTCAAAATTTGATTTTGACATAAATGACTATTTTTAATACTCAAACAGGCATCACATCATGCGTTAAAAGAAAAAATAACAGCACAATATTAAAATGAACAAAATATAGTTAAAATTAAATTGAAAATAAAAATATAACTTTTAGAAATGGAAATTACTTTAATCAATTTATGTTTTGAAGAAAAAAAATATTATAGTATATGTTAATCCCTGAAAATGTCACTCTCAATCCGATTGATAATTAAGAAAATAAACAAATGAAATAAAATCCGATCAAATTAAAGGTAGCACTTAAATGTCGACTCGATTGGAATCTAAGAACATAAATGGATTACTCTATTTTCGCCTGTGGAGTTTATTAAGGCAGTGTCATGTTGGAATTATTAGCCGCAAGCAAGCACTTGTACAGGGACCAGAAACAATTAATACTCATTTAATTTAACTCTCATTAGTCCGATGATTATAGGCGCTACAGTTCGCGAGGCATTTGTTTAAACAATTATCAAATCGTGTTCAGCTGAGATCTGAGAGGGAAATATTCTAAAACTTCTGTATTAAGAATGAATTGACGTTTGAAAGATAAATTTCAAACCATTGGAATTTTAGACGCTAATCAAGTGAAATAGGCACACATGTGAGGAAATGAATAAAATGAGACTATTCTTTGACACTGTAGATTACTTGGCATCGCTGACATGTTTAAAGCATGGTCTTGCGTGACCAATTACAAGTCCATATTGAACACTGTCAAACAAAATGCATGTTCTGTCAATTGCTAACAACATTAAGCCTCTTCCCTTTTTAATTTAAAAAGCAATTTTCCGGAGTTTCCTACACCCGTATGAAAGGAGAGGTGATTCTTATATATAAAACATTGATTTGCAAACGAAATCGTGTATTAAAAGTTAAACTTAATAGCGCTATCATTTCAATGGAACTGCACATATATACTTTCGTTGAGGACTTTGAAAAACAATACTACTAAACTTGTAAACAATAAAAAATATCTTTATGTATTAAATTTGTATATACAAATATATACTTATAAGCTGTTAAACATTAAAAATACATTATGTCCTACAGAATTTATATTCATAATAATCACTTATATTTAGAGTTTAAAATTTTTTGGGGAAAAAAAACATCAAAGAAGCCAGTCTTATCAATTATTTTTTCGGATTTCAAAACAACATCAAAAGTAAAAATTTCAATTCTTTATCATTTCTTTTTACAAATCGTAAATTAATAAGGAAAATGTTGTGTTACAAAGGTAGCAATAAAAGAGCAAAATAGCTCAATCAAGTTGTCGTTAAAAATGTAACGATTAATTTGTCATTAACACAGATTGTGAAAGATCTGTGCGTTAGAAATCCATTTAGAAATCCCTCGACTAAAAGGTCTCTATCTATTTGTAATCAAATCATCTTTACAATTAAAAAGAGTGTTGTATAAAATATTAAAATAGACGCATTACTATATTCAGTTTTAGTTAATCTCTACTTTAAATAAATTTACACTTTTAATTATTTCAAACGTTAGTGATGCCTACGAAACTTAACTGCTGTATATTATGTCGATTTTGTTCTTATTTTATTGTTGCTTGGAGACAGTTTCTGACAATATCATATGTAAAAAGTGAAAATATTTATAAAAAAAATTAATCGTTCACATTTATTTACAATTCATTTGTTAATAACGCAGATAATGTATGTAACTCCGTATTACTGTCATTATTATTATTATTATCATTATTATTATTATTATTATTATTATTATTATTATTATTATTATTATTATCGTTGTTGTGGTATTTTTAGCCTTTTTACATCAGTTTATTATAAATGTGGGCAGAACTGAATATTAAAAATCCTGCATTTAAAATATGTATATATAATTATTGTGTTAAAATTGTCCAGGTTAAATGTAGAAAATTAATTACTTGTTCTTTAACACATCTTGACTTTCTTCTCATTTTTTCATACGTTCATTTGTCATACACTTTAAGGGTGTTTTTATTTTACTCTTAAATTTATTTCAAGGCGTTAATTATGATGAAAATAGGGTGACAAACGACATACAAGATTAATTTCACTTCATTTTTTTGTACAAAAATTCAAATTGTCATGAACAGACAGATAAAAGTGAAATTTTCGGAATTTTACAAAAATAAAAACGTTCTCATCATTATAACAAACGAGTATGGATTCATCATGCACGTTCGTTGTTTTGCAGGTGGTTGGTAACCAATTTAGGCCAGTGAAGTTTGTCATTTAGTATCAATAATAATAAACAGTGAGTAATTCGCTCACATTGTGCTTTGATGTGTGTTAAATAACCCTCATTAAATGTTCAAATTACCACGTATTATTTGTTTAAAGGCGTGTTTACTGTTCAATTATTAAACATATATCTTACAGTGAATTTACATCTTTACTGAATGAAATAATTAAAATAGTTTATGTTAAAACGATAAAATAGTATCGAAAGATATATTTCAACAGAATAAGGCCGGTTAGTGCGTATTCTCTTTTTAAATTAACAAGAATAAAAATACCTTTTTCTTTCAATAAAATAAAAAAAAAAGTTTCGATGAAAGAAAAATGTTCTACCAGTTTAATAATAATATTAATAATTTAATTCCTTAAAAATAATTTTCAAAAATAACATTACAAAATACACACAAGTTATAGAAGTTTATAAAATAAATCTAAATTTTCAAAACGTTTATGGCGTGGCTCTGTCGGCTTTTTCTCTTCTTTTTTGTGCTTTTTTTTAGAAAACATTAATAAAATTAAGCGAAATTTAATGCTCTCTAGATACGAATCTGTTTGTATAATGTTCAAACCATTTAGAGTGATAATTCAGGAAAGTCATGAAGAAAGTCAATTTGGAACACATTAAGGGTTAAAACCCAGGGAAAGTGACAATACTGAAATATCATATTTCAATACAATCATATTTTGATCACATTTCGATGATGTCTAAATCTGTCGTGAAATGATGTATTACATTTACCAATGCCGTGCGTATTTCACAAATGTATTATAATTGAAATCAGAATTTATTCATAATATAAAGTTAAGAATTAAATTTTATTTGTTATTAGCTTTTAAATTTCAAAATGTGATAAAATGTTTTATATATACCTTTTATTCTTCCGGCTTTTCTCGCGAATAGGTTAGCACAATTTGCCTGTTGGAATGCATACATTCCATAAGCCGACGACATTGCCGGGATAGAACTATAACGACAAGCTGCCATGTCACTTAAACCCATCCCGACAGACTGATAAGCACACGAGTTATTAAACTCTCCATGATTGTAGCCAAACCCCTGTTTGTAGGGTGTCTGGTAAGAGTAGGGCACTGAGTCCCCGAAATACAACATGTCCATTATTTTAGACTTGAAAAACAATGCGCATTTGATGCACCTAGAAATGCAACCTGCCGCAATTCATGTCTAAGACTGTTTAATAATTAATTAAGATAAATGCATAATCCAATCTTGCAATGAAGCATATAGTTACGCCAATGAACAACACTAAAACACCAACTGGGATTTAAAACTCGTCAAATTAGATGGAGTCCTAGAAGTGAACCAGCCGCTAGTCACAGTATATACTTTGACCTCATTTTCTTGCTTAATTATGCACGTTTAAACAACTGTTTTTATTGTTTAACTGTGATCTCTACTCCCCTGCCTACTAAATTATTCTTAACTATTTATCATATTATGGGAGTTTTCTGAAATGTGAAAAACAGAAATTTACTTTTTTTCCTCTCGACAGAAAATGTTCATACACACGAATCAGTTTACCGCATGTAAATTATACAATCAGCAATGCTCACAAAATGTCACTCAAAGTAAAATATAGTGCTCGCATTTATTAGATATCTTAATACGCAACATAGAAATGTTTCTGTGGAGTATAAAAAACCGTATTGAGTTTGTTCCAATACGAGCTAGCAATGTTGCCGTGCTGCAGATGGTCTTCAATGGTCTCCCCATCAAGAGTATCAATAAACGAAAGGGATAAATGTCAATATACCACAATGATACCGACACTCAAAACTCACGGCGACATTCTATTGAAGTGCCTTACCAATCGTCTTACTTATGTAAATCACGTTGAATATGTATGCCGAACACTTTTTCCTAATACCCTTTATAATGTAGTCCTCTGAATAAATCAACTTGTCCAAACAACTAGCACAAAAACTTGTGAATAAATCGACTCTCTCTGAAGTGAACAGAACTAAGAGCGCACAGCTCATTCGCGCCTTCCAGAGCAGAGAATCGAAATGTTAATAACGTAACTGACACCCCTAGCGTCGCTTAAGATTTCCTTGAAGAAATTCGGAGAAAACTTTGCAGTAAGGTTTAATAGGCCAGCTACAGCGTTATTGCCTTTTTAAGCGAAGCAGAATTAAACATCGGTTGAGTTGTTAAGCTATTCAAGCCAATTTCTCATTCTGTCATAACAGTCAACTCACAGTCTCATCCGGGGCTGTCCATTCGTACGTTTTATTGTAAAATATCTCCATAATAAATGATAGGCACTGGTTTATATGTTTGGTGGCATTAAGGTGGCAAGGCGTAGTCACTCTCTGTGCATTGAAACAAAACAACGCACGGAAAAAGCACAAACGTTTTTTGTAGCTTATTGATAAATCATTTCGCAAAGAATCAAAAGAATCCAAAGCAACTTATAAATCTTTAAAGATAATGTGTTGTTTTGAAATAGACTCGAGACCCACATTAACAGTTGATCTGTTTGTATGCTGTCTTGGTCGGTCTAAGTAATTTATTAAATTTCATTATCATTGTTATAATCACTCTAGCAGGCAGGTTTCCATTAATATCACCTAGAATCTAGAACCGACCACTATTAAATATGCTCCCAAATAATTTCTCGGTAATAGCCTGAATATGAATGAGGAATAGTCGTAAATTTTGAATCTAGATGTTCTGATATGGATAGAGGGTACACTCGTTTATTTAATGTGTAAATAATTGATTTGAATTCTAATTGTTTCTATGCAAACTCTGCTCTATAAAATATTCCACGACATGCACGGTGCACGAGTTACGGCAGACCCGCGTCGGGTCTATGTTACCCGGGAGACAAGCTAGACATTATACATGGAACAGGTAAATGTGAGGCGCTTTAGTGCACTGTCACAGAAAATAATAATCACTTATTGTCATCAAAGTGTAGATTATCCAGAAGAAAAAAATACAGTGGTCATTTTCTGACCAACAACTGCATGCTTTCAAGTTTTTACTGCAATCTGACGTGCCGGATCATACATCCGAATAAAATTATTTCATTTTAACAAAACTGGATTGTGTATAAAATTTACATTGGTCGAAAAACTTAACTTTATATGGATTTGAAATAATATAATTCCTTGTTCGGACTGTCAACGCTACAAATTACAATTGTTACGTTTCGTAAGAATAATGCACTAATAATTTGCAACGACATTCAGCGTTGGCGTTATTTAGCGTTCATAGAGTCGGGGTTACGTATCCAAGTAATATGTCTCGGTTACCGTGAGTAGGTGCAGAATGTTTTACTGAATTCAGTTCTTTTTGCACCATAATAAAAGCAGTTGACAAGCTCTAACAACAACAGAGGACCGATGACTATAAAACAGATGACAAATCCCTTTTTACTGGAATCACTTTTTTCGCCAATTATAAAAAAAAGCGGACTGATGATAATATACAGGTCAAGTAATGAAACACGTCAAATATTAAACTTAACAGCAAGAACGCAAAAGTTGTATATTATAACTATCAGATTACAAATGGTAAAATGTAAATATTTATACTTCTCACCTAAATGTAAGAAAATAAAAATAATTTTATACAAACATGAGAAGAATAACATGTTTATGTGTTTTAATGTAAATACTTGGGCAGTTATTTTAGCATTGTATAAGATAGAACGTCCATTACCGGTTAATTTTGTTGTCGGAACGACTGAAAGAATTGCCTCACATTTCACTCGTAAATTAAAAGGAAGATATCGTGCCCGGGGGACAATTAAAGCGCACTTGTGCCTAAATTGATACATTAAGCTTGTCTCTTATCTGAGAGTGTACAAATTGGTCAGGAGAGACGCGAGGTTGCAATACATTTCACTACAATATGATTTATCCCAAACATTAATCTTTCCGATTGCAGGAAAATCTGGGTCTCCATTACTTTAATACCGTCATCATGAAGTTACATGCTATTGTAACCAAATCACATGTTACGTCTTCCGGGACTCGTATGTAGCCCAGTATAACAAGGAAAATATCGCCTGTGGGGCCCGGGCAACAATCATTTCTTCATGTACATTGATAATGATACTAAACTGTCAACTCTTGCTTCTTCTGTGTAAAATATCATGTCGTACAATTTGTAACTTTTTTACAGCAAAATAAACATTTTATGACACCTTGAACATCAAGAAATGTTTTAAAGGCGGATAAATCACCCCTTTATTGAGCCAGCATCTTGTTTTATAGCAAAATCAACACACAAACAAAAACATCACTTTGAACATAATTTGAATGGATTTAAAAAAAAGAGTCACTATCTCTGTGCGCAGATGCAAAAGTAATATAAATAGACAGGGAGGGGAATATTTTAACACGCTATTATGCCACACTGGATAACAAAAATATCGACCGTGCTGTTTGAAAACCCAATTCCAAACAAAAATTTCATAGCTCTATGAGTCTATTCAGAAAACTTAGACCGTTGAAAAATCTCAACTAGGAGTTTATTCTGCGTAATTACGACAACAAAGTGTCTTGCCCATGACAATATCTCTCGTAAAAAAGAGAAATAAGAGTTTTCGCTGTGCATTTTCCAAGACTGCATTACCCCTTGATGGTAGTCCTCTATAGATCAGTGGTCTGCGAAATTACATTATTTAATGTAGCACACAGTCAGTATAGTAAACACCGCTAGAGTCTGACCCCCAGGCTAGCCGAGATTCCCAGATGTAATTGGATTGCTTTACTACCGAAAACAATTGGAGGAAAGCAAATAATCCAATCAATACAAGAATTTGCATTGTCACTGCCATTTAGATCTCCCTAATAACGAGTATTGCAAAGATAAAAATCCAGTAAATAAAAAAAAATAGCAAATTCTTCATAAAATATGGTATTCGTGAATATTTCAAATCGACAACAGATCAATTTGTTGATTATACATAATATATAAAATATTTTAAAGTAGAATAATGACTGTTTAAATGTGATGGAAAGTGCGAGATAGATAGATACGACATCAGGCTGGTTAAATTGACTATAACTTGATTTTCACCGTCAATAAAACATTTACGGCTACATGCTGTTACAACCCTCATAGTAGGCAGTATCGATGTAGAGAACCAGTCTGCTGCCTGTGAGTTAGTATCATTAAAATGGGCGGACCAATACATTTCTTCAACACGCCCCTTGCACGCCTCTCTGATCACCAATAACCAATAACAGAAGCGTTTTAACTAAATCAAGCGTTTGAAACGTAAATAAGTTGAGAGCGGAGTCGAAGGGCAAACAGGATTAGTGTTCAGTAGGCAGCCTCTTACTGATGTGTGGTTATTTATAGATAATTCAAATATATCGGTAACAATGTGTAAACAGGCAGTGTTCCGTGCCGCCGCCCTGGCTCGAACTTCAATGGCGTTACTAAAGCGGCTGATTGGTGAGCCACAAAAGTAGGGAAATAAATGGACTAGCGGACCATGTTGTGATACTTGTGGACATCAATGATCACTCACTTGATAAATGCTTATTGCTTCTTTTATTTCTGATAATCGAATAAAAGTGATGAATACTGTATCGAGTTTACAACTTGTTTCAATTAAGACGTTACTCTGTTTAATGTTTAAGACATCCAAAATATAAAAGTCATATCAGCGCTGCTCATATCAGTTTTACCACGAACTTGTGTGCGTTTGAAAAGATTTGTTTAATAAGTATCTTAAGGAAAATATTGATTATCCAACATACAAAATGTACATATGCATGTACATATACTTTCGTATGCATTCTTCGGCCATAAGCAATTTTAGGCAGGGAAACTGGTCGTTGGCTGTAGGGATAGTCGGTAAATCATTGCCAAAATTTCTTTATATCACATTTATTTCTTCTCTTTAAAACGACGGAAAAGTCACCTCACATATACTGCAAAATAATCGGTTAAAAAACGTCTGCTATGAAACGAGCTCTATTAAATCGAAATAAGTTGACATCCTACAATTTAAAAATTAACAAAACTTTGCTGTAATGGGTTACTATAGTAACGTTTCTCACGTGCTGAACCAAAAATAGAAGATAAATCCTCTACTGACACGATATTAACAATTTCTGACAATTTTAATGAAACTAGAAAGATAAATAAAATCGAAAGTTTACTGCCCCAAGAATGACTGTTCACCTTGGTTGAAATGAAGGTAGTCCCCTTTTATTGCTCATTTATGGTAGAAAATTAGCATAATTTGGTAGTTGTAAGTATGTTTTACTCTTTGATTTCAACATTAAAAATTTGATGACAAAATAGATAAAGACTGTTTTCTCAATTTCTATCAACTTAGCTTGTTGATTTATTTCTTGTTTTATTTGGAAAGTTAATCTACGAGATGATCGCAGACTTGACGTAAATGTTCGCCATCAAAATTTTAACACATCCATTTTAAAGTTTTTATAACCAATTATTGCTTTTGTAAAGTCAATTCTTGAAGTGCTTATTTTATGGTGAAATAAGTGTAGCTAAATGCATTAAAATACATATTTATATAACATGTGCATTTGGTCAGTGGTTTCGTCGAAATTTGAAAAAGTAAACATTTACAACAAAATAAAGAAATCAAAAAATATAATCAAATAACATGCTAAAATTCAAAACTGAGCATATCTATCGGGGTTTGTTGCAAAGAAATCTTAAAATAGCATCATTTAGAATGGAATATTGGAGAATCCTGACATGGTCAAAATAAATGTTTGTCCAAATTTATGTTCCTTAATTAATGTCAGTCTGGCTTACATGCAACATGAAACAACTTTAATTAGATACCAAAGTTTCTGCCAGTAAAACTCTGATCACATGACCAGTTAAAACAGTGTCGACAACTTGTAACAGCATGAATTTTACAGAACATCAATAAATATATCATATAAATTTTTGAATATTTAAATAAAATAATGCATCTGACTGCCTGCCACAATCTAAAATATTTAAAAGATATCAACGAAATTCGTCTCCAAAGA